GCGTGTAAATGTGTAATTGCTAAAATTTCCAGCCGTTACACGTTTACACAAATACATGACAGTTAACTTCCCTAGTTTATTCATAGCGAATTTCCAGGGGGCTCACTTTCATCAGAACATGCTATGGCTGGAGGGTGTCCAACCTCCGCCGCTTGTCAGCGCACATTCCTCCAGGGCACAAGCCTCTTCAGCTGCCTTCCTGGCCAATGTCCCAGCCACAGACACCTGTAAGACTGCAACGTGATCTCCGGTCCACACGTTTACATCCCATTACACAATCAGCAGCAAGCCAGAGGGGATGCAGCATTTGGCAGTTCCGTGGTGTCTTCTGCGTGTTTAATTTTTCCTCCTAAACTCCTACCCTCTTCCACAGATACTACTCGGAGTCACCTCTGCCAAATGGACATGAGCTATCACTCAAAGAAAAGACTTCTGTACTTGGTATTCTTCGAGATGTGTTGCTCATGTATATTCAACATACCCCTCCCATCTTCTTCCTCTTTATCAGAGTTCTGGCAAGAAAAAACTGGAGAAGAAGGGGCCCAGGAGTGCCCCATATAGTGCAGCACTCCAGGGATGATGGGGAACGGTCCCCTATAGATACTGCTGAGGGAAAATCTCCTTAGTAACGTTAGTTCGAACCAAGGGGTTTGATTCAAACTAATGCACATGGCCAGGAGCGCATTTTCACTTTCAAAACAGCATGCAGCCAAGATTATGCTAATGAAGCACGGGATATTTAAATCCCGGCTTCATTTACTATTTCGAATGCCTACATTTGCATCCCTAGCTCAAACTAGAGTGCAAGTGTAGACATACTCTAAGGTGCCTGCCACAGGACTACTCATTATTTTTAAAGTTACAGACTAACACGGCTTCCCCTCTGAGACTTTTCTTATAATGGAATAAATGTGTTCACACATCAGGAGTAGCTGTGCTAGAATCATTCCACCTGTAGACATGCCCTAAAATGAAATCTGTCCCAACAAGCTTGTTGGTTCTCTCTAGTTACTATTTACCATAACCTGTGGTATAGATGTGACCATCTGATTTGGTCCTTAGTGCTGTAGGGGTTCTATCACTTACCATTAAAACACATTTTTAATGTGCCTCTCCAGGGGAGGAAGTGCAATTTGGAACAAGTTGACAAGTGATAGCCAACATTTCCCACTATCTTAAGCTTGACTGAGCATTGTGTGCTATGATGCTTTTAGTGTCTTTGTGTTCTGCAATGCAGGCACTTCTTTCCAGGCTTGTTTTTATTTAGCAGATCCTGCTGGATTAAATTTGGGTTTAGTACCAACCTTTCCTTGCTGCAGTTTTGGTAACTCGCAGCTTGTTTGAAAATGTTCTTAAACATAACTGCTTTATTCAATCTGTACTTGCAGCCTTAGATACAGAGGCAGAATCAATTGCTGAGGACCACTGCAAGCAA